AGAACTTCTTGAAGCATGGTCATAAAGTCACAGATGCCAAGGTACCGTACAAGTTTAACATGCCTGCAAATATTAAGACGCTTTTCTGAAAATGCATCAGGAAACTATAAATTATATTATTTTGAGTTTGTTTGCTCTAAAAAGCTTAATAGATTTCGACAGACAAATTTGGTACTGCTGATGCTTCCCATAACATCTGTCTGAATAAAATCTGACATTTTCAACCTACTCAAACAGTTTATTTGACCCAAGTCATGGTTAACTTTTCCACAGACTTTCACTTAACAGCTGTATTGTGTCCTAAATTGTATTAGTTCACTCTACCTACTATAAAAAGAACTTGACTGAAGGACAAACCTTAACCAGTGGTCTTATATAAATAATGAATCAAAGTATTGATATTTAAAATGTGAATTTATATTTTGTAATATTAGTTCAAAGTAATAATGAAAGGAAATTGGCATGTTTCAAATAAAATTTGATATTTTGTTATCCTACCACTAGGGAGCACCAAAGGCTAAAATGTTAAACATTACACTTTGTGTGTCTTTTTTTTAAAGTAAATACACTGAATGATTTTATTCTACAGGAGCTACACAGAAAATACTTGAAACAGTACTGATTTGGCTTGATTCTCCCTCCGTTTGTAATTAGACATTTTAACCACGTGTATTGGGCCACCATTTTAACAATTTTGATTCTCTCTTAGGTTATTGCGGAGCTGTGGAAGTGGAGACAGACGGTGAAGGATGCAAAATAACAGTCTCAGTAGTTTTATCTCCTTTTTATGACTTGTTTATACCCATAGCGCACCTCAAACCCCTCTGAAGCCAAACTCTGTGCCTCACGTCATTAATTCTAAGCCCAGTCCATCACCACCGCCCGTCCTGTATGAAGAGATGAGAGGGATGGTTGTAGCTCCCTCCTCCACCACCCTCTTATTAGGGCAGAGAAATGATTTGTTGAATTAACTCTGGGAGAACCAACTTACAAATTTGCATCTTTTGTAACTGTGTAAATAAAACTCCGGCTGGATTGTTGGCACCCCAGTATGGAGGACATCTTCATGTGTGTTTTTTTTTTTTTTTTTTTTTTTTTTTTTTTTATATAAACAGGTTAATTTGGCCTCATGCAGAATAATAGAAATGCATCAGATTATCACTCACTTCAAAGCACAGAACACCAGCAACAAAAGCGGCTAAAGAAACTTCTAATCCATTTTAAGCAGTCAAAACGGCTAATGTCTGCCGTGGTCACATCCTTTTTCCGTTTTGGGAAAGCAAATGTTTTGGCTGACGTCAACAGTGATTATGATATTGATGAGCAATATTGATTTGTCAAGTACAGTAGTAAAGGTTAAAATGCTGCACTATTTAAAATGTTTTGAATGTTTGTGCTATTGTGAGATTCCAAAGGAAAATCTCCCGTGACAGGAAGTGTCCTTCTAGTTTCAGTTTCAAACATTGTGTCAGAATTGTCACACTTCATTTATACTACCGTCCGGAGATAATCGACCATTTGATGTTAGGCAACAAGGTGCGTTAACCTTTTGTGGGGTACTATTTCATAAATGAAGCTGCCTTCACATTTTAGCACTGACGCTGGCCTACGTGGAGATTGGGTCTCTGACTTAATTTTGCTATGACTACTCATAGCCAATAGGCCACGGGTTAAGTAGTTACTCTGCAAGTGCATGAAGAGAAGGAATCTGCAAATTATGTTGTCGGGTTTTTTTTGTTTTTTGTTTCCCAGTGTGAGTTGCTCATAATTTTCCAAACCAGGATTTACAGTTGTTAAAATGTTCTAAGAAATTCACCCCTGTACAAAAGTTTAATTAAGCCACACGTTCTCTTCTTGTTTGACCAGTTTAAGTCAAATTAAATGTAAATGTTGATGCACGAGGCCTCCTTATAGCTGAAGATCATTCCATTGTTCTCAAGAAGCAAGTGTAAGGTTGGATGACTTTGAATGTGCTGTGGGTTTGGGTTGATCATTTTACCCAAATAGAAGATAAATTCAGTTATGACCCTTTTTTTTTTTTTTTTCTTAATTTGTTTTACGTGCAACAATCTATTAAAATTTCAAGCACACAAAGATGTCTTGTGTTTCTTTCTACATCCGGTGTAGAATCAAAGGTGTAAGTCATCTTCTTTCTATATTTGCACAGAAGACTGCAGAATGTGCAGTGTTTAAGATGCCAGCTGGGCTCCCAGCTAATATAAAACAAACATGCACAATGCATTCGTTCTGCAAGATCGGCTGGACACATGCAAATATCTGGCTACAAAAGGGGGAGGAGGCGCAAGCTGGTATCTGAAACTAAAGAGGTGAAGATGCACATTACATCTTGAGATCCCATAAGCTACAGAGTGCTTTACTCATGAATTCTTTTTTTAATCTTGCGGTAATTGGAACCCGGTTTGGGACCTCTGGTCTGTTTTAGAGATTGTTTTAAAGGTCTGTTCGCAGGTCTTGAGCAGTACTACTGAAAACTGTTAAATGAAGCATTTTGAGGCTCCGGGGGAGCTGTGTCAAACCTGAAAGTGATGTCACGAACAACATCCTACCACTTTAGAAAAAATGAGAACAGAAAATGAAAGTAGCAAACTGGTTTCTTATTTTCTGTACTTTAGTAAGACAATTATGAAATTCAAAAGCTGGCATGAGGGCTCTTCAATATATAATATAATGTATTACTCATATCATGTTATGTTTCTGTAAATATAGTTCATATTGCACTCATCAGATTCTGTAGCCAAAATGTGTTTTGTTAATAAACAAAACACATTATATATATATATATAAGATTTCCTTAAGATTGCATAAGATTTTAGTGAGGAAAAGTATAGGGGAGGCTTAATTTCTTTTACCTCCAAATCTCTGAAGTATAACTGCGATTTGTGTGTCTCTGATGTTTTCTTTTGTCTTTCAGAATATAACACAATGTTGAGACTGCTATAACTGTAATGTTCTGTTTCTGTTGTAACAAACTGCAGCACTGCTGTGATTATATTTAGGGTCACTTATTGCACACTGGCCAACAGAGAGCGTTACACTGGCGCTGTTTGTATTTTGTGACCCTTGATCAAATCACCATTCATTTTTTTATGGTCATGCAGTCGTCTTGACAGCAGATTCGCCCTGTACTGAGGACTGTGACGTTACAGAAAAATTAAAGTGACAGAAAGTTGTGTTTTTAACACTGCTGCCAATGGTGAGAGCAGATGTTTACAAATATCGAAGAAGTACATTACTGTAGGTTGACAGATTAGAATATTGAGCAAAATGTCTGTATTCAGAATCCACTGAATATTGCTCACCATCCCACTACATTTTAATTTATAAGCTCTTTATTGAACTAATCATCTGACGTGTGCAGACGTACAGGTAATTTGTCCGTTAAGACGAAGGTACTTAAAAAGTCCAGGGAATGCAGACCTCAAAATTAAAGCTGAACTGAGTTTATTTATTATGCGTAGTGGGAGAATCATATCTAATATCAACTCGATTCAATTAAAGTTTTGGGGACACGAGCCAGTTATGCTTTGTGATTTAGGCTGGATTTATTTCACATTAAAAACAAATATTGTCTTGTCCTATGCAGCTTTAAAGCTGTTGGGTATGCAATATATTTATTCAATAAATCAAATGCTCTGACAAAAAAAAAAAAAAAGAATTCAGTAGCTATCTGCGACCATCGCAGGTCTGTAATAAGCAATGAAATGATCAGCTGGCCTACCTGCCTGTCAGCCTGCCTTGATACTGTCCCTGTGCACTCACTGCGCATGAAAATGGATTTTGGGAGAGTGGCTTTTGAGGGGGAGGGGGTGAGATTTTAGGTTTGATACTTAAAAAATCTAGCTGTGTCTTGCTAGTTTCTCCAAAGTTGCCTACCCCAGCTCTACCACAAGAAAACACAAGTCTCTTGCATAGGTCTCGAGTCATTCAAGAACTAGCATGTGCACGTTTGTTTATGTGTTGACAGTTTGGGTAGTGGGTTCACGGTCATGATAATAAGGTCATTCGACCTTCCTGCTTACTATTACCTGTAATGGTCCAATAAATGACCATTTAAATAGAGCAGTTCTACTGTCAGGGTGATAACCAGTAATAATTCATCAGCAGCATTCAGTGATTGAGTGGCACAGAAGCATGTGCTGTGATGGCCTGCATGTACTCTGATAAATTGCCCTACCTTCCTGATTCGATTAGAGGAGCCTACAGATGTATTTGTGATGTATTTGTGCAGGGAGGAAAATGTTTGGGCACTTAGGAGTAAAATCATTATTACTTTTCTGATCTGGCCCAAAGGGAGGAAAGAATGATTAGAGAATGGCAGGCAGAATGAGAACTGCGGAAGACACTGCTGGAGAATCATTAATCGGAGACATATACTGACAAAGTGAGGGGAGATGTAGAGGAGACAATGTAAAAAGATAAGAGGAATGAGGTGAATTCAAGTGAAAATGCCCCACTGCAGTGAAATATTAATTCCCGCAACTTAAAATGGCTCTAAAAATGCAGTCCTGAGCCAGCACACACAATAAGTTTTACTGACACTTGAAAATATAACACTATGTATAATGTACAGTACATCCATCCACCCATACAGTAACATCTGAGCCAATTAAATGCAGTTACCTATATACACACACACACACCAGCAGTAGCAGTAAAACCAAAGCACATTTTACTTCGTTAGCCATTATGATGCTGTGCACCCGTCAACCCAAAGGAAGATGGCTTCCAGCAAGAGTAAAGTGCGGCCCTTACAATTTCAGTAAGAAAATCATCCACAACCTGAGTCTGGCAGGTTTGCTCACCTACAATGCCAATAAAGTGTGTTCATAATTGAATAACATCTGCTCATGGCAGCTGTATGGTTCAGGGCATGCCTGTTTTGTATTCAACACTATTTCAAGGACAAAGCTTGTGTGTACTCGTGTGTTCATTTTACTTCCTTTTAAAAAAAAAAAAAAAAAAAAAGTATTTCAAATTTAAATGGTTTTAATCCGTTTTATTTAAAGCACTCGGAGCTGCATTTCCTTTGATGAAAGTTCCATTATGCATAAACAGCATTTCCAGAAAGGGTACATTTTCCACTTTTATTTTATGTACAAACTTCACAAATCACAATTTTAGAAAAGGTTAAAAAAAATGAAAATGTGATGAGTGAAACTATTGACTAAAAAAAACAAAAGCAATAAGCAAGCGCTTCCACACCAACAGCAATTACAGAACAAGTCACCAAATACATCACATCATCACGCTGTATGTATTTCAGCAAAAAGGTCATCAATCTGAGTTAAAGGAATTTATTGCGTTTTATATAGTTACAATTTCACTGCGGCACTTGATTAAAACACAGTGTATAGTGGTACTGAATGATTTGTCATTTTCATATAAATAAAAAAACAAAATAAGGCACAAATACATGGAAATTGTTTCTCAAGTGCCAGATATTAACCTACATAGATTCAGCATACACAGTAACAAAATGGTGTCCACTGCCATATCTGATTTCTATTCAGTGCATTCACAAACACTCTGTACACTGTGGCATGCAGCAGGTGAAAGATATTTTCTACTACCAAGTTGTGTAATATTGGCGTTTCCCTTCCTTAATTTGAACTTAGTGCTTTACTGACGTCAACAAAGTGGACAGTATACACCATAGTAAGTAAGTTGTAGACAGGGAAAAGCAAATAAGCTCTTTAAGTAGTAAACAGCAGTTATTTAAAACTTTAATGTATTTGTTAAAATATTACAGTAACATCACAGGTTCTCCCTGAAGAAACTAAGAGACAAATTAAAAAAATAAAATAAAACTGGTACTGATCACTTCCTGGGATATATCTTTTCAACCTTTCAATCTCTGAGTTGGACTAGGGTGAATGTCAAAGTGTTCCTTCAGCCTCTAACACCGAGTCCTGCCTGTTCAAACGTATTCCTTGCCGCTGCTGGGAGGTCTGGAGATGGGATACTTCGGTGTAGATTTTTGTCTGCGGCACGATGCGGACATCATGCCACCTCCTATTACAGCCAGGGCTGCGCCAGCCCAGGCAATGAAGATGGCAGAACCAAACTCATACCTTCAGAGAGAGACGTTACAGTAAGTCAACAGGGTTAACAGATGCCAGCTGAGCTCCCAGCTAATATAAAAACAAACATACACAATGCATTCATCAGCACTGCAAGAGTGGCTGGACACATGCAAATGTCTAGCTACACAAGGGGGAGGAGGAAGAGCTTCAAGCTGGTATCTTAAACAAACCAGCACATCCAACATGTTCGGAGATATTGTACTGAGCTAAAGGAAATGTTTAGCCTATTGTTGAGTGGGACTGCAAAACTTAGCCTATTTAATAAAAAATTAAATAACAGCACAAGATGCAAAAGGTGTGAATAAAAGGTGTAGTTTCCATCTTAAATTTTCAAAATACTTACTTTGTATTGACAGGGGTGAAAGGGTTGTAGAAGGCTTTGATGATGTCATTAGCATACCAGGAGCAGGCAACAACAGAACACAAAGCTGTGGGAAAGTAAAGATAAATCACTGAAACCGTCCAAAGAGAAGAAAACAAAAACAAACATTAAATGGCTTCTTACCTCCGACCAGGATGATAACACCACCAGTAATTGAAATGTTGGCCTTTTTGGTTTTGTCATCTCCTCCACAGTTGGTGCACTTCATTCCCATGCAAGCTACGCCCAAGCCGGCCACTGTTACAATAATGCTCACAATCATCAGGGCGCGGGTTGCCTGGAGGGCACCTGGATAAGAGGACAGGATAGGGTTAATCCATCATTTAATAGCAAATATTTAACACTTAATAGTTGGTACATAGGGACGAGGGTGCGGCAAGACTTGACAGGCTTAAACAAGAGTGAAATAACGTAGCATTTGAAATTAATTTCTACAGTGATTCTATTAAAAGCCTCTACTTATGCTTTCGCATCCAACATTGGAGTGGGGGGGAAGCAGTGCAAATAAGCATTGTTCATATAACAGCGTGTCATTGCCGCTCCCAGTGAGAAGAAAAAGAAAAAAAAAAAGAAAAGCAGAAACCGGCTCTAACCGGAAGTGAGAACTCTTGGGGGGGGGGGGCGGCTTTGTATGCGTGTTAGAAAACAGGTCTAACCAGGTTTCAGGTTTCATTATAAGGAAGACACTCCCAATTTCAGGTACTTGCAGCCTGCTTTTCAGCAGGTGGACATTTTGTGGCTTTTTGCTCCAAACTACCAAGACACGGGCCCTCTCAAAAAAAAAAAAAAAAAAAGTGAAGAATGCCTCGTGTGGTTTCAAACAAAGACTCACTAGATCTTGAGCAGGTACTTCTGAATAATGAGGCATTATTTGTACACTTGCTCCATATCTAACCACAGCTTTAATCACACAATGTTTATCAAAAGTTGTTTTGTGTTCGTGTTTGAAAAGGCGATAAGACTCATTGTGCTACAGATATTTTAATCAGCTGTTTTGATAAGTGAGATAGAAAATAAAGAAATAAGAAAAGACACTTAAGCTATATGGAGAAAATAGACGGTTTTGTGAACTTCTAACTCAAGTCAATAAGTAACTTGAAGCTTTAAGTGCTTTGTAGTGAATATAAGTAAAGATTAAACACAGGGAGGGACCAATACACCTAAGTGTACAGAAGGTTTTCCTCAGGCAGTTTATGCCTGAGGAGATCAGTTACTGAACTGATCAAAACCTGTATAATAGGAAATCCAACCGCTGTTGACCCATTTTGCCAGTGCTCTTAAAGATAAGATGTGTCATAAAAGATAGATAGTAACCGCACATGTGATTTGACTTTCAGAAAAAAAAAATTAAGGAAATGTGACAACTGTCCCATTTAACCTAACATGTTCTTTTTTTCCCCCCCAAATGGGCTGTATGATTGCCAGTGAAAAACACTAACATTTATCTCAAAACAACAATACCGCCATATACCATACACCGGAAGAAGGGCCTTTTGTAATTGTTCAGCCTGGTTCTTAAAAGGAGTGTTGTGCTAAAACATTTTAGTATATCTAGTCAATTAAGTAGTTTTTCCAGACATTACATAGGAGTCAACCCTTTGGGCCACAAAAACATAGCAAAGAAGGGTTTTGTGGTAATCTGATGCCCTTTAGGCCTAAGACAAAACAACTATTGTGGGGGCTGGCACTGAGACCTGTTGCCTAAACAGTGGCTCCTGGGTGTTTAACCTGTAACTACCTTTGCGCTGTAATGCAAGCCCGACACTACGGGGTTTTCCACAATGCAGGGGCAATTGTACTGGCCAATGACTATAGGAAGTGTGAAGGTGATGCACACATTCCCGCCTATCAAGTCGAAAGAAATCTCCGGCACTGAGTCATCAAGCTACAAGTAGCCTACAGGTGAGGCCTTGGTGCGGTTTAAACAAAATGACGGCTTTCTGAGTGAAAGAAAGACGGTTAATAAGTGATAGAAACGGTCAGCCCAAGCCACAGGAATCTGTTAACAGCCAAGAGTCATAGAAGACGGCTCAGAACTTCTTGTAAAAAAGGCCTAAAACAAAAAAAGTTGCTAGGTTTAAATTCCAACAGGTGCATGCCAGTGTGTTACAGCATTTATTGTTAAACAATTACATGTTTTTGTAGTCACTAAAATGACTTAACTTTAAAGCCAGTTTCATCGCCGAGCTAAGCGCTCAGTGATATTAGGCCTATGAGGCCTACAGAAAAAAATATACATACACACACACACGGCAACATTTAACAGCTTCCCAGCTATAAGGCCTGCCCGTAGTATGGGTATAAACATAAAACAATTTAAACTTTGTTCCAAGCCTTCAACGACACATCATTTGAATCCAGTAAGTGTGTTACTTACTGTTGAGCTGCAGGATTGAGTCGTAGACTTTGCACTGCATTTGGCCTGTGCTCTGGAACGCACAGGACATCCACAGTCCTTCATACATGGACACCGCTGTGATGATGTTGTCCCCAACATAAGCAGACATCTTCCACTGAGGCATAATTGTGCCAATTATCAGTCCAATTACACCCAAAAGGGCCAGGGCGAATCCCAAAAGCTGCAGACCTTTGTTGGCCATTTCCACCACGCTACTTCTGCTTCAACGACTTCGCGGCGAATCAACAAAGACGACGTCCACCTGCTCTGAAGGTACAAATCCCCCACTAACTTAACAATCGGACGGGTTTTAGCAATGTTTGCTTTGTTGCTGAGGAAAGTGTCTGTCTCTTATTTTCTCTTTGCGTCTTCCCTAGCTTTCTGAAAACAAATCAGCAGACAACGGTGATGTTTCAGTTTATAAAGTCTCTCAGTGATTCCTCTCGCACCTGTTCCTCAGCCGCACCTTGAATGGGGAGGGGAGGAGCGGGAGCGAGCTTTTCTAGGCGGTTTCTGTTACAGGTGGAGGGAGAGGGACGCGCACGCAGTATCGACTCATCTTACGTAGCGTCAAACAACTGAGGTTTCATGATGTCAGTGTTTCCTACGCTGAGACAGACTCCATAGATGGATCGATAGACAGACAGACAGATAGATGATGTTTATCTGTTTAGCCCGGTGAAACACCTCAACAGGCTTGAAACACTGACAACCTACAAATATTTTAACAATTACAAAAATATATAGGCCTTGTGAAGCTTGGTTAATAATGATTTGGTTTGTATAATTTCAAATAGTCTCAATATAAATTATTATGCAACACAAAGCATAATAATGTTACTAATAAAGTTAATGTTATAACTGTTTATAATAACCCAATGTTTTTAAATGTCATATTATTTGATATACAACAATAAAAGTTGACACTTTTGAGCAAGCATTGTTCATAGGCCACTGGAAGTCTGTAGCCAGAGATGCTTGGTAAGCAGGAAAAAAACAACATTCAAAACCACCATTTTGCAACATTATCATATTATTTTACATTTAAAATACATTAGAATAATTGTATGTATTGCTACGAAGTGTAACAACACAGTGAAAACAGTATATTGTAGGCTAATGTATTAGATCAGGCTTATAATTCCAGCCCCATATATGTTGGAGAAGTAGTATATATTTTCATATAATCACATATTTTCTGTAGAGTACCAAAGAGAGAGTCATGATTCTATTATATTGCTGTGTGTGTATAAAACCCAAGACATGATGTCAATACATACATTAGGTGAAGTAAACAAAGCATAACACCCTGTTTGTTTTACAGTTTAAGCTCCACAAGAGTGCCAAAATAGGAAGTTGCATTAATGTGGGTGGAAGTTGAATGGATAATTACGTTCCATATAATAAATATAATATCGTCAGGGGATGAGTCAAAGAAGACATTAAATTGTGTAATGTGATCACAAGCCATTTCACCATCTATTTTCAGGACCATATGAATAGCAAATTAACAAATCAACATCTAAAAATGGCAGCTGAGGGCCATTAACTGGGGTATCACATTTAGAAACACATACAAAGAAAAATATCACATTCTTTCACACATATAATTTTGTTGGCTTTGTAACTTTTATTTTCAACACGTGTGTGTGACTGTCATGTGCTTGAGTTACAAGTGTAGACTGCACGGATAGAAGTAGGTGTTTTATCTGCCATAGGTCCGCTGAAATGAATTGAACTCTGCTCTGCCCTGGAGGAGGTCAACAAACAGGCTTACAGAGCTGAGACACAGTTCAGCTGTAGGTATGAGTACTTTGTATTGATTTTTCCTGCTGTTATGACACCATATAGTACTATATCCAATCAACAATGAGAACATCAGATGTATTATGTAGACTTTCAATGCAACTATCACCAGTTATGAGTATGAGTCAGAGTTTCCTGATGTTTGCTAGGGTCTGGGTTAGCTGACTAGTAAGTAAATGTCCTTAAGATCTTTCCAATACATCTACTCACTGGAAAAAAGAATGTGTTTGTTCCAGTCATATCCCACTTATGACTGTGTTTATCCTCTGTAAGCCTAACTTTCACATCATACATGCTTCTGGGCTGGTGTCTAATATATGTATATTTTTTGTATGTTTCACTGTCAGTTTTGTAATATTTTTCTATTTGTTTTTCTTCTTTTTAGTCTTTATGTATTAGTAACTATGTGAGCATACAATACATTACTGTTTCTGATCTTTATATATAACATTTGCTTTTGTGAGTAACATAAAGGGAAATAAAACTTCTCGTTATGCGTTGTAAAATAATAAATAAATCTACCCTGGACCTTGTACCTTGCACTTTGTATATGTGGGCACCACCAACAACCACAACAAGAAGTCATTTCCCTAGAGGCCTGCATTAAAGTAAACGACTTTCTTCTGACACACTAGCAAAAGATAGCTATCTAAGAATGAATCCAGGAAGCTCAGCTGGCAGTTTCATTTTCAGGAGCACTGTGCACACTCCTGAGGGAGAATTGTTTTCACATGACAGTTGACATGACAGTGCTCTGACCTGTTCACTATGACAACATGAGAGGAAATCCCAGAGCTTAAATGTCAGTTTTCAGCCGGATATCTTGTACACCATGTCAGGTTTGCTGTGGTATTTTCTTGAGGACTGGATTTTCAAATTTAACGGTTGTTACACACATAAATATGTATAATGGTGAAAATGCATTTCACATGTTAAAACGGCGCCTGGAAGATTCAGTTTCTCTTTTGACTAATTCCCTTTCGACAACAGTGGCCTTGAATTTACAGTTGGAGTGGATTCTGTTATCTCACAGGTCAAACAGGTTTTAATGAGCAGCTGCTGGTGTGTAAGCGGTTATTAGAAAACTTCAATATGCCGCCAAAAAGCGATTCCCATGCACAAAAAAGCCTAACAAGTACAGGCATGTGAACTTCTCACACATTTGTATTGGAGTGCATGATGAGATCTAAACATACACAGTCAGTGTGAGGTTTTCGAAAGTACTATGATACTTGCGCAACAGTGAGACTTCTCACATTGATACCACAGTCACTCTCTGAGTCATCACATACTGTAGGTAAAATAGAAGTAAATAAATAAAGTAGTACATTTTTACTCGTCACAAGTATTTTGACCTGTCAAATGACTCATCTGAAGAGAGACAGATGACACTGAATGGAACAAATCCTATGTGTTTATCCTGCTTCACAGGGCGTGTCCACTCTGGGTCAGCTGTCTCAGTCCTCTGTAATAATTTATTCACTACACTCTTGAAGGTAAATCCCAAGTCAGTGACACAAATAATTTGAAGTTTGATTTGATTTGTACAGTTTGTACAGTATTATTTGCTCTGGAGCTACCCGAACTTTCAAAAACAGAGGAGCAGTAACAGCCTTTACTATTAAAGTAAATTTATTTTTAGGTTGGATCGCGTATATCTGCAGGCAATTTCATAAAATTACACTATTAAGAAGTTCTTCCCCAGCAACTAAAGAGATCAAGGTAAAGTTATTACCTGCCTGAACATCTTTCCCCAAAATTCCTTTGATATTTTGAGTCATACTTTTGGGTGGAGAAGCACTTTTTCTTCTCTCTGATCAGATGTTTTCCAATTAGGATTTAACTATTTGACACTTGTGTGTTGATGTTACCATAATAACTTACTGTAATCCTTTTACCCTGAGTGTGCATGTTGCACCATTACTCTAGGGAACAGGCTGTAGGACAAAAGGTTCCACAAGGCTAGATGAAAAAAACTCTATGCTGCCATCTGATGGTTTCTGTGAATATAAAACAAAGCTGTAAACAGCCTTTCTTGCTTTATGTTTAGATGACCATGCTTGAGAACAATTTTAAGTAGATTTCTCAAAGTATCTAATAAACTCACTGTATTTTTGTTTATGTAGAAACAGTTGGTTAATTGCGGAGAGGTATTCCCAGAATACACTCCTACTGTCTATAAACAGTGCATAAATATTGTATGTTTGAAATATTTTGAAAAATTGAAAAAATAACTATCCATTTTACACAAATAGTGATTCCCAGTTTTCTTTGTACAGGAGCGCCATAAGAAATAAACAGTTCATGAGTTACAAAATTATGACTTTGTTGTGGGGTTATATATAGTGACGTATAAAAATAATACTCCAGAAAAGAGGAAGAAATTGCGGTTCTTTAGTTAAATTTCCTAACTTTCCTGTTTTATTTTTATTACATTAGCAAATATGACAAAATTGTGAAAATTGTGAAAAGACAAAGACAATACAAAGGCTGTCCTCTCAGTCATTCTCAATTCACACATGAGGGACAGTGGTGGATAAAACAGTTGTCGCTTGCACAACATTATGACCACCTGCTAATATTGTGTAGGTCCCCCTTTTGCCCCCAAAACAGCCTGAGCTATCGAGGCAAGGACTCCACTAGACCTCTGAAGGTGTACTGTGGTATCTGGCACCAAGACTTTAGCAGCAGATGTGGGGCTTCCATGACCTGTTTGTTCAGCACATCCCACAGATGCTTGATTGGATTGAAATGGAATTTGAAGGCCAAGTCAACACCTTGAACTCATTGTGTTGTGTTCCTCAAATCATTCCTGAATCATTTTTGCTTTGTGGCAGGGCACATTATCCTACTGAAAGAGGCCACTGCCATTCGGCCCATCAAGCTCAATACCATGAAAGGGTGTACATGGTCTGCATCAATGCTAAACGTATAGATGGTACGTGTCAAAGTAACATCCACATACATGGCAGGACCCAAGGTTTTCAAGCAGAACATTGCCCAAAGCATCACACTGCATCCGTTGGCTTGCCTTCTTCCCATAGTGCATCCTGGTGCCTGTGATCACCCCAGTAAGGGACACACACACACACTCCCCCATCCAAGTGATTCCACCCATGACCACCCCCACAGAAGCTGCAGTTCTGGAGATGCCCTGACCCAGTCGTCTAGCCATCACAGTTTGGAACTTGCTCAAATCCTTACGGTTTCCCATTTTTCCTGCTTCTAACACATGAACTCTGATGACAAAATGTTAATTTGCTGCCTAATATATTCCACCCACTGATCTTTGTTATTCCCTTCACCTGTCAGTGGTCATAATGTTATGTCTGTGTAAACTGTCAGCTATGAAACACAATCAACAATGATCTTACAGTTAGAAGTGTTTGAATTATATCCATATTGACATGTAATTAATTAAAATGTAACTATAATATGTATAATGGCTTGGTTGAAGCTGTATCTGAGAAGTGGAGCAATAGCTTGGAATGATCTTTTACTTATGTTGCAGCAAAGCAGAAAAAAACAGTGAAGCTCAGGGCCTCATTCTTTCCATTTATAGATAATGGCACTGTAAGGCACATTTTATTAAAAAATTTAGTTATATATGATGTTATTTTTCATTGTGACATTTGTTTCTGTACTGTCTGTTGAAAATATAGTG